AAAAAAAAAAAAAAAAGAAAATATTATTGCCATTTAGATAATTCACGTATTAAGAAAGAAACACATAAAACAAAAAATCATACACACTTATATCTACATCTCAATTTGTATTTGTCTCTCCCTATCTACTTACCTATCTATCTACTTACCTGTGTGTATTAACTAGTATGTGTGAGTGTGTGTGTGTGTGTGTGTATAAGAGGAAGTATATATACATTCGATGTGTACTACTTATGCCGACGGCAGTCGTGCTTTTCTACGAGATTAAAGCTCAGTTTTCTATCTCAACTCTTCTTTCACGGTTCGTCGACCCTTTCAAGAAGAACATTCTCTTGATATCTTTATATTTAATATATATATATTTGTATGTGTGTGTATCTGTGTATGTTTACCTTCTATCCTACTGTTTTTCTATGTATGTGTACATATGTGTTTTATATACATATCAATTTATATTAATTGGATGATTCGATCAAGCATCTTTTCAACTTTCCTTCATCTTATTTCGTCATAGAAAAATCTTCGTCCAAAAGTATTTATCTATATATATGTGGTTAGCTTTCACGATGATTAGGATTATTATTAATATTTTTATTGGAGTGTAATTTTTGATTTTTTTTCAAATCATTCTTTCATCTCTTTGATAAGCAACCAACCACAAACGTCATTTGGTTTTTTCCCTTTCCAACTAAATTTGTTTTTATTTATATATTCGAACTATCGATAAAACATATTAATTAAATAAATCAAATTAAAATAACAATAATAGGTTTTGAAAAATTGATCGAATTCTAATATTTAAAAACAATTCGTTGAAATGATATTTCATACGATTCGAATCGAATTTAATAACTTTTTAAACACAAAGCTCATAAATTGTGTATTTTGTTTTATTTTATTATTTGACTTTTTAGGGATGAGGATAATTCATTGTTTGATTATTATTATTATTTTTTTTTTTTTATTTAATATTATATAACATTATCAAACATTTGCATTTATTAATTATTTTTCACACAGTGCTTTTAATGAATCGAATTTAATTGTTTTTAAACACAAAGCTCATAAATTTTTTTTCTGTTTTTGTTTTATTTTATTATTTGACTTTTTAGGGATGAGAATAGTTTTTTGTTTTATTATTGTTTTTTTTTTTTTTTTTTTTTAAATAACATTTAACATTGTCATACATTTGCATTAACATTTTTCACTTTTTCACGCAGTGCTTTTAAATCGTACGTTTTGCTTTTAACATTAATTGTTATTAACACTTATTGCTTACGCATTTTCTATGCAATATGTGTGCGTGTGTGTGTGTGGGTGTGTCATGTATCTTGTAAATTTTTATAAACGTGCAGCATTGTGTGTGTGTGTGTGTATGTGTATTCGAATAAGACATCGATTTTTTGATGCTAGCAATTTTGCTCTTTCTATTTATTTTTCATTGGATAAACAAATAGTTTGGAATTATTTGTTTAATGCACGTGTGCTTTTTTTTATTTTTTTTTTTTTTTTTTTTTATTAATGTTTGTAGTTTTCTTAAACTTAAATTGCATTAATTAGTTTATTTATATAATATATGCATGTTTGACACACGAACTCTTTCACCCACTGTCAAAACTTTTCACAGCTTTTCAATGTACAGAGAAACGTCTTATTTTGTTTAAACAATTCAATATTATTAAAATATATGCAATGTGGATTCACAATTTTTTTAGATTCGCTATTTTACAATTTTGAAAACAATATAATCCTAAAAAAAAAAAACAAAAAACAATGTTTGCAATATTACCTGAAAAAAAACAAAAATACTTTGGATTTATTTTACATAGAAAATTTTGAACAACGAGATTTGTTACATTTGTAATTTTTTAATAATTATTGAATATCAAATTTAATAGGACATTTCTCTTAATACAATGTCACACGCTAATTATACTCACTATCGCTTTTTAATTAAACATAATAATTAATCAAAACGACGTTAAACGTGTCCACATTTTTAGAATACAAAATTTGTTTAACAATCTATACATATATGAATGTTCAAAATGATTGAATATTAAAGTAAATATTAGTGAAAAAAAAAATTCTATTAATTTAACACGTAACGTCGTTTCGTATACGAAAAGTATTATAATAAATTGTAGTAAATAAATAAAAAAAAAAAAAAAATGGCAGAGATAATTAGATGGAAAAACAAAACGATTCTCCGGGTTGTCTAGCATCCTTTCTCCTGGCAAGTGAGCAGAGACGGTCAGAAGGTAATCGGACACATGGTCTTACGAAAGTCTTTGGGTTCTGAAACCGGTACAAGTATACTCGGTCTCAAGGTCGTCGGTGGGATACTCTTAGAGGATGGTTCTAGGGGTGCAGTTATCGAAAAAGTCAAGAAGGGTAGTACAGCGGATGTTGATGGTCACTTAAGACCCGGTAAGATTTTATTTTATAATTATTATTATATATTATTTATATATTTCTATATTTTATATAGTAGAATTTAAATTAAAAGAAAAAAAAAAAAAAAAAAAAATACAGATAAAGTAATATAGTATATCAATGAAATTTCTATTTGTATTTTATTATATTTGTATTTAATTTATTGTATAATTAAATTATACAATTAATTAATTAATTGTTTATTATATTATACAATAAATTAAAATTATTTAATTTGTATTATATTTTTATTGTTTAATATATTATATTTATTTTATATTATATTTATATTTTTTAATTTATATTATTTATATTAATATATATTATATTTATAATGTATTGTATATTATGCATTTACAAACTGGTAACAGTTTTCCAATGCAATGTTTTTTTTTTTTTTTAAATTATTGTTATTATTTTTATTAACCTAAACTATTATATTTAAAATAAGTAGAATTTATTAAAAAAAAATTTAATTAAATAATTATTTATAAAATATACAACTTGATATATTATAATTAAATAAATGTTTGGTTTACGTTTGAAAACAACATGAATAAAATACGAATGATAGATTTGAATCAATTGAAAAAAAAAAAAAAAACAAAATAAATTTGGAGACAACAAATTTGAAGATCGGAATTTTTTGTTGAAATTGTTACAGGTGACGAGGTACTCAAATGGAATGGTAGATCACTTCAAGGTAGAAGCTTTAAAGAAGTATACGACATTATCGCAGAATCGAGACAGGAGTCTCAAGTCGAACTGATAGTTTCGCGAAATTTATCTGCTGCATTGGCACCAAGTACTACGACGATGACCACTTCGACGATTATGGTAGGACAACAACAACAACAACAAAAACAATTGCAACAACAACAACAACAACAACAACAACAATTACAGCAACAACAAAGATTACCTGTTACACCGATGTCCGTACCGTCCAGACGAATTACTTCGCAAACCCAATGGAGAACAAAACAGGATTCCATTTCCAGTCCTCAACAACCTCATCATAAAGGTGACTATGAACTTTCAAATATTTTCTTTTTTTGATAAAAAAATTTTTTTTATTCAAAATTAAACTATTAATTGTTTTATCAATTTGATTTTTTTATTCTCTTTTGAGATTTATTTTTGCATATATAATAATGACATTGAGTAAAGTTTGAAAAAGAAAAGAAATGAAAAGTATGTGAGATACTTAAAAAAAAAAAAATTTAGTATAATATAATAATAATAATTAATTTTATACATTTTTTATGTTTTTTTATTTTTATTTTTATTAGTGAGTAGAACTTTTGAAGAAACTTTATTTTTCATTGTCCCATTTTTTTTTTCACGAGTTACTCGAGAACGTTCAATAATATATATATATATATATATATATATATATATATATATAATATTTATTTAATATATATTAAATTTAATAAAAATTTATTATATATATATATATATATATATATTATTTAATATAATATAATTATTGTAATATAATTATTTAATTAATATTACATAAATTAAATATTAAATTATTTAATTTAATGTACAATAATATTTTTTTTTATTTAATATATATAATAATGTAATAAATATATATATATATATATATAGAAATCATTGTTTTTCTTAAACGTTCTCGATAACTTAAAAAATAATTAAACATTATACGTTACGCTTATAAGATTTGTCTGCGTAATTAAGAAACTAAGTATGTAGTGGTGTAGTGGTGACACGAATTAAGTAGAAAGTAAAGTTGAAATAGTTTGATGTCAAGTTTTCATATAGATTATTATTATTTTTATTATATAAGACTAATACTTATACACATACACACGTCTACATACACAAGTATCTTATATATACAGATAGAACCAAAATCTTCCTCATATGTTATATATATTTTTTTCCAATTTTTTTTTTCTTTTTTTTAATCTTTAATAAACAATAGATTGTAAGTGTATTTAAGCTTATATTGGACACGGCGCTATATTATCACAGATTATATGATTTTTCGCATTCCAGGTCTTAAGAAATGTATTCTATGGGGTAGGCTTTAAAATTTCTTTTTTCAAAAACCAAACAAACAAAAAATCAAAAACAACCAACCCTTTTCCTTTCTCTCGCGAATTTCTGTCCCCTCTTTTGATATTCGTTACTGTAATCAACCCCCCCCCCCACTCCTCACCCACTTTTTTTCTATTTTTGTTTTCCTTTCAATCCTTTCGAATTGATCGAATTTAAAAAAAAAAAAAATGAAAAACATTTACAAAAAAATGATTCTAAAAACGTATGACCAATGACAATTCGATCTTCGCTTTGTGTATTATAAATATTATTATCGATGTGTTTTTATATCGTAGATTGTAGATCGTAGTGCTGATGCACCTCTCATTGCAATTTTATCTACAAACCCAAACCCAAAAGTTGACTTCCTTTATTAAAAAACCTCCCCTCTGTTCTCTTTTAAAAATAACCCTTTTTCCTTTCTTTCCTTTGCTGAAGTACTTACACCTGTCCTTTTTAAGAAAGGACTTAGTTCTTATGGGAGCAACAACATTTTTTAAACTTTATACTTATATATATATATATTTATCTATTCGTATATATATATATATATATATATATATATATATATTTACGATATTTAAGTAACAATTTGACATTCACGTGCTTGTCTCTCTTCACTGATTAAATATTAATATATTTTTAATATATATATATATATATATTATGTACATATTACTTATATATAATTGTGTTGAGATAATTATGATCAGTGAATTAATAAGAAAAAAGAAGTCCAATGTGACAGATGATATCAATTTTTTTTTTTATAAATTCTGCACAATTGCAGGTGTCTGCACATTATATCATCGATATAAACCCGAGTAATGTATAATATATAATTGTTTGATTTGTTTTTTTTTTTTTTTGAATAACAATTCTATTTATCACCGTACACACCAAGCCCAAGTTTGTATGTAAATACATCCACTCTGATAATACATATAATATATATTATATAATATTATATGTGTGTATATATATATATATACAGGGTGCTTTGTAAAATATGAGTCTTAATTTAAACATAAAAAATGATGATAAAAAGTTCATATAACTTATGTTTGACCTATTTGATTTTGATTTCAAAGTTTCTAGTTTCAAGCTTTATGTTTTGATAATCATCGGATAGTTTATATTAACAGAACATCCTCAATTTGTATTTCTAAAATGTCTCTTGTGAATATTTCTTGTTCTATTTGATGTCCTACCTATTAAGCTAATTAAATTTAGTCATTAGAGTTTAATCGGTAATTCTTATTAATAGCATTTCATTATTTTCTCTTAGTTTCGTGTTCAAATGATTGCCAATGCGATTATTGAATTTATATTTTTGAAAATGATTGCATAATTGATATCCATTGAAAAAATTCGTACAAGTGTTATTACGTATGGTTATTTGAAATGTTGTTGAATTACTATGAAACTTTGATGATACAATGACTGCAAGATTGGATACTAAACAGTGGATGGTAATTTTGAGCACCTGTGAAAATTAACTGTATTATTGGAACACAAAACTAGCTATTGTATTACTTCGAAACAAGCAAATCAGGACACCCGTTTGTACGGAACCTTTTTTTTTTTTTTTTCATTATTTTTTTTTTATCTTCCGTTCACTACTGAAAGAGTTGGTCCCATATATTATGAAATATACTCTGTATATATTTATATATATATATATATTATAATAATGAACAATTTATTATGAAAGTGATGTTAAATTCATTTTTTTTTCAATGTGAAAAAAAAAACATATAATTTTGATGTTTTATTCATGAAAATTATGCTGAAAAAAAAAAATGAATGTACTTGCTTTTATAATAAACGATTCCAAATGTGTTCGTAGATTTTGACATATTTTATCGAAAGTATTTTATCACCATTATCTCATAACAATTATTATTATTATTATTAATAATAATAAAAAGCTACATATGTTATGCTAATGTTCTTCTTTGAAGTATAAAGACATAAAATGTTAAAATATAAAATATTTTAAAAACGTTCAATAATATGTTAAATTATTTCAAGATATTTGTAAATAATCTCATCAAATATTCGGAAAATCATCTCGAGTTGTGCAAAGTATTAATAATTAATAATAATAATAATAACAATATATTGACTAGGGGTCGTAACACGCGTCTATAAAAAGATATCAAACATATCTTTTACAAATAGAAAATAAATAAAAATAATTTTCACATCGTTCTCGGGGTGGAGGGGGGCGGGGGTGAGGGGAATAAAAAAAACCAAATAATATAAAACCAAAGAAAGAAAAACAAAAAATAAAAAAAAAAACGTTTTAGCTGAACGGAACGATGATGTTTCATTAATCTCATGAAATTTCCCGTGCAGTGATTCGATGATGAGAACGCGTCGTGGATTAGCTTTATTGAAACGTACGAGAAAGAGTGAAAGTGAGAGTAAATGTGAAAGAGAGAGAGAGATAGAAATGTTTCGTTTTACGAGCAAAATATAATCTTCTCTCGCGTGGATCATCTCGTTGTTGTTGTCCCATCTTCCGTATTCGCACATAGAAGAGTCTTTTAATTAAATTACGAGCGATACGATCGAACCGTTCTAGGGGTACAAATTATTATCGTTCGCGTGAGTTCCCCCCGTTATATTCTCCCCCATTCTCTCTCTTTCTCTCTTTCATTCTCACTCTTATTGGCTTTATATATTCTATGTTACCTGGATGGACACTATCGATAATAAATTAACATATCACTTTGAACTAACATACATACCAAGGTATATCGTACTTGTTAACATGAAATATATTACTCATATCGAATCATTGCAATCACATTTCTAATTTATCCTTTATGTATCCTTTTATATATAATCCATATATATATATATATATATATATATATATAGTAATGTAAGGTTAAACATAAAGAAATTGTTTAAATATATTGGGTTGTTTAAATAATTCGTGGCAATTTATATTTTTAAGGTATAAAGTGGTATACTTGGTTTTTATGGGTAAATTAAATGCAAAAAAAAATTATAACAAAAAGGTCAATTATCAATAACAATAATAATTAATATAAATGTTTATCAAAATTGGTGACAACTTTGTTGGTCAATGTATGATTGTATTACTATATGTTGTAATACTATGTATTACTATATATATATATATTGGCATGAAATTTTTAGCCAACCCAATTAAAAAATATGAAACCCCTTCCCCCTTGTACTCCACACCTTCTTTAACCCTTTGAATCAATTTTTGGTATAAAATCCTCTCTCTCTCTCACTCTCTCTTTTTCTCTCTCTCTCTCTCTCTCTGTCACCCCCCCCCCCTTTAAATGAATCGTTTTAAATCATCGTTGTTTGTAAATTTGTTGAAAAATAATGATGTAAATTAAAATGGCAATGCCGGGACAATACGATATCACTTACAGAATTGTACGACGCGAGGCGAGAGAAACCGTCGGTTTTAGTGACGTCACCTGGTTCACCGGACCTAAACGCTCAAGGACGCGTCAGGCATGGACGTAGAGCAACTACGGGAAACGTCAACGTTGGTGGTGATCTACAAGTGAAGTTACTCTTCGATCCTGTAACACTTCAACTATTCGTCACTGTCGTTAGCGCTTCGGCCCTTAGTCCACGTCCTGATGGTCAACCAAGAAATCCTTACGCCAAGATCTTCCTACTTCCTGATAGAAGGTAAGTCCTATTTTTCTTTTTCTACTTTTTTTTTTGAAGTGAAAACTTTTTTAGAATTGGGAGGATAATTTGAAAAGTAATGCAATGAAAAAGCGACATGTAGCGATAAACAAAACAAACAAAGAAACTTTTACGACGATCATTAAATGTCTATCATTGAATAATTTCAATTTTAAATATAATTTTAATTTTCATGTAAGTTATTCAATATTATTCTAAAAATATGTATAACTAATTACAAAATTAAAGTTTTATTTTTATAAACATTACGCCTGTAAGAATGCAACCCTCCAGACACAATTTGAAAATGTTGCTTGCGACCGCCATCTACTGGGACAGAATTTTTTTTTAACCAAACCTGTTTATACACGTTTGTATTACGGGTTGTCTATCTTTCGGTCAGAAAAAAATTCCGTCCCGAAAGGTAACGCTCTCAAGCAACATTTTCAAAGTGTGTCTGGTGGGTTGCATTCCTACAGGCGCGAATTTGTATAATTATTAAATAAATAATTATGACAATAGTAAAAATAATATTATAGAATAAATTATCCTACTGTTCATATTAACTTTTGTATTTTACACACATGCTTTTTTTCTTTAAGTTCTTAATTAATAACGACGAATATAATCTTAAAAAAAAAAAAAAAAAATGGGGATGAATTAATTGTTGGAACTTCGCGTTATTTGGTATTCGACGAAATGATAAAATAAATGACAAATAAATTAGATGTATAAAATGAATGTAAATTATTATATTATAATAATTTGTTATATCTGGAAGAGAATTTTGTTTGAAAAGATGTTCGTGATAAATTAATATACGTCGTGGTATTATTATTCTCTTGTCTCGGGATTGTCATTTTAATAAATGTTGCATAATGAAGGAAAAGAAGAAGAAGAATAAGAATAAAATGAAAAAATAAATAATAATTAGATTATAAAAGGAAGGAAGATAGACTGGTGGGTTGAAGGAAGATAATTGGTTAAAAGAATATTTCGTAACATTGTTGAGACAACGTGTCCCCGTGGCCTTCGTACGACAGTTACTGGGTAACTTCTCTCCAGGATCGTTCCAGGCTGTCTGCAATTTGATGAAAGTGTCGCATAAAGTTTATCTAACCAACATACGTATATATATATATATATACATAGGTCATTGGCAAGTATCCCAACGAGAGAGAGAACATTTCAACGTGGGTACCTTGTAGCTTTACGTTGTGTTGAATTCCAGAGTGAACGATTAGAGAGAAATTAGCTTCTCTAGTTTAAATGTCGACAATTACTGTTAGCAATTACCTTCCAATTTAATTTTCTATGAAATCTTACATTAGAATATGATTAAATTCTAATTGAATTAATAAAGAGTTACGATAACCCCTTTTGTGTAAGAAGTTAATGAAATTCAAATAATTACATACACATACGCACACACATATAGAGTGTATCATTTTAAACAATATATTCGAGTTTTTTTTTTTTATTACGTTGATTTTATAATAATAATAATAATAATAATAATAATAATAATAATAATAAAAGATATTGTTAAATTTTGAAGGGAGGAATTTAATATGTATCAAAGTTATTTTATTTTACGTCGATATTTTTCGTATGGAAGAAAAATTATAGGAATTTTGGTTAAATAGAAATCAATATTTTTGAATTTAATAATATTAATATGAAGAATGTCAATATGATGTTTTTTCTTTTTTTTAAATTGTAATACAACAACGAGTTATGTCATTTCAAATATTTTCAATATTTTAATTTACTACTTTGACAAATATTTAATGTCTTTAGACAACCATTTGATATGAAATATTACTGCAACTATAATAAATAAAAAAGAAAAAAAACAATTTCTTCGAAACATTGAAAATAATATCCCACGTAAATAAAAGATTGAATATAAAACTAAGATCTATGTGAAACATTCTAAGCATTTTTCTTCTCTTTCACGTTATCAACAGCGTAGGTTGGTTGAAAGTAAGATATCTATGCTCGTGGGCGCCAAAATGTCGAGACTATCGTCTTGTAAGATAAATAATTTGACGAAGTAGCAGTTTTCTCGCCGATATTTGAGCCAAAAAGTAAGAGAGAGAGAGAGAGAGAGAGAAAGAGAAAGGTCTAAGGGAAAACGAGGAAAACCCTTTTCGTCGAGTAAAACTTGGCCGTAGTGCCAACGATTTCTCTCCACGCCTAATGGCCCTGAAGTTTTGCTCGTTTCGTTAACTTTACAAATCCTTCCATTAACTCTATCTCTCTCTCTCTCTCTCTTTCTCTCTCTTTCTACGTTCAAACGTGTATACATATCTTGTAGATTTTCTCTCCTTTCATCGAGTTTTCATTCGCACATATATACACACATACATCCACATACACATGTATATATATATATATATATATATAACAGTTAGAGAACAGCAAGTTTAAAGTCTTGCGAGTGAAAGCTAATTTTTATCAACTTTGTGTGTGTATGTGTGTTGTTTCGTTTTTTTTTTTTTTTTTTTAATTTCTTTTTCTCATTTTTGCTACTACACAACAAACTTGGAATAAATTTTTCCTCAGTTGTAAACGACTTTGAAGTAATTTAGTAGAAGTAAATTTAATATTTCTCAAGATTTATATCGTTTGACTTTCTTTTTTTGAACATATATATATATATATATATATATATATATATATATATATATGTGTGTGTATGTGTATTATTATCTTCCTTGTATTTATTAAAAAAAAAAAGGAAAAGTATAATAATAATAATAAAAAAGAAAAGAAAAATAACACGCTATTATGTTTCAACGAAGTTTTCCAACGATGTTCGTTCAACGTTGCGCAAAAGTTACGTCGTTCGATCACGCGATTTGGATTATTTCGTGAGCTAATAAAAAGGTCATGGAACCTACTTTTAACATAGAATGTAAAGTTAAGTAAACCAAAGTAATGAGAGGAGAGGAGAGGAGAGGAGAAAAGAGAAAGGAAAAAAAAAACGTAAGAAGGAAGGAAGGAAGGAAGGAAATTTAAACGCAGTGCGGATTCATTTTCTACGATGACGATGAACGGATATTATTCAATCATTTTTCGGTCGGAAAAAAAAAGGCAACATTTTTCTTTATCGATATACTCGTTGTATGTACTTCTTTTTCTTTTCTTCTTCTCTTTTATACAAGAAAAAGAAAAAAAGAAAAAGAAAAAGAAAAAAGGGGGTAGAAGTTAGACGAAAGGATAAAATTTTCAAGTAAACTTCCGGGGGTTTCTTCGGGAATACGAGGAGAGAAAGTTTAAATGGGGAACTGGTTAAGCAAATTTCTGCGTACACCCCTTCCCCTGCCCTCCCCTTCCCTCTCCTCCCCTTCATACCTGTTCAAAGTTATCCCCTCAAAAAGGTTTGGGAACGTGACGCACATTGGAAAGAAATGAATAAAACAAAAAAGAAATTAGTTTCTTATTCCAATTATTATTGGACGAAAAAAAGTATTTGTGGGAACACTCGTCGTAGTTGAATGTAAAATAAAATTATAAAAATTAAAATGATAAATTTTTCTGTTTTTTTTTTTTTATTCTTACTTATAGCAAATATGTTTGATTAAAATTTGACGTAACCAAAAAAAAGAAAAAAAAAACTGAAATATTTATTCGGTACAATTTTCGTATTATATTTTTCCATCATTTTTCATTCGACTGGAGAAATCAAATCATAGATGTTGTTTAATAAATTTAAAATAAATTTAACATTCGATTTGAAAATGTAATCACACACATGAAAATTAATATCGTAAATAAATACATGTACACAGATTACAAAGAAAAATAATAATAAGAAAAAAAAAAGAAAGAAATTAAATTACGTTTTTATCGTATATAATATAAAATTATTTAAAAATGTAACCACATAAAAAGAATATCGTAATAAGAAGTGCAGGTACACAGGTTACAAAGTAATTGATAAAAAAAAAAAAAAAAAAAAAAAAACAAAAAAAAATTAAATCTCTCACGTTTCTTTTATAATATAAAAATAACGTAGTATACTTTGTTTTATTATTATTTGCATTTGCGTTTTGCATTAGCGAGAAGTCAAAAAGACGTACGAAAACATTGGCTAACACGAACGATCCTAAATGGAATCAGACATTCGCTTACAACGGAATAAGAAGATCGGAGCTTAGGAAAAGGGCATTGGAGATAACAGTTTGGGATTATGGGAGGTACGACGCGAATGATTTTCTTGGTGAGGTCGTCATAGAATTGGCTACTGCACCATTGGACGATGAAATAGAATGGCATCAATTGACGATACACACGGAACATCGGTAAGTACATTTAATATTTGTTACTAATACCATATATATATATATAGTACATAATAGATCTATCAACGATATACAAAAACGCAAACCTATCAATGGATATACGTTGCGTCTAATAAGTGCGCTTAATTAAAAAATAAACAAACATGGGAAATAAATTAAATAAATAAATGAAGTAGAGTTTAAATCGTGTAATGCGTTGTACATAAAAAAAAAATAAAATAAAATAAAATACGATCTCGAACGAGTTGGGTATCGAGATTAGGAATATCAAGGATATCGATTAAGAACAAAATCGGAAAAGTGAGCGAGAGAGAGAGAGAGAGAGAGAGAGAGAAAGAAAGCGAGAGAGAGAGAAGAGAGAGAGAGAGGAATGGTTAAAACCGGAATACCTGTCCTATATTTGGAGGCTGCCAAGTGTGTGACCTTTTTCGGAAATAATTCGAGAAATGGAGGAGTACTTGCGCTTGTTAAAGCGAAGATTTGATATCCTGCAGGCAATATCAGGAGGCCGAGGATATGGTGATAACTCCGGTGGATTGCCATCTTAGCCCGCCGTCGACAACATCGAGATTAAGCGATTCCGACACTTCGGAGTGCGACATCACGGATTGCGACGTCTCCAGGGAACAGAGACGAACGGCTGACGGTGCCAGCATAAGTAGTATCGGCAGTTCCTCCAGGTAAGGACATTCTTTAGAAACGACGACGACGACTAACGACAACACGCCCTCCCTCCTGTTATCTTCGAAAAATATATCGTATCTTTTATTTTTTATTTTGTTTGTTTTGTTTGTTTGTTTAGATATCTATTTTTATTGTCGACTATTTCGAATTCGATGTACGTGGTTATGTTTTTACGTTTTGTGTGGATCTTTTTTTACGTGATCGAATTATCGAGTATTTTTTTTTATTTTTTTTTGTTTTTTTTTGTGGATTATAAATTGAACGGAATTAATCGTTTTTCTTTTTTTTTGGGGGGTGGGAGGGGGTGATTGTAAATTTTCTCTTTTTTCATTTTCTTTCTTTCTTTTTTGTTTTTTTTTGTTTTTTTTTTATTACGGAAAAGATTTAATCGGATAAAAAAAAAAAAAGATTTCGTCAATGTGAAAAAACGAGGGCCAATGATACTCGTATATGCTCGATTAAAATAAAATCGTTGTCGTAAATGTTTCTTACCAAGAAATCGGAACGATTTAAATCGTATCTTATATAATACGATGTTTTATACTACTATTTTTCCATCTGTGTTGTTGTTTATCGATGTGTTTACGTAAACAAAAAAAAAACAGAAACAAAATTCAAAAAAACAAAAGAAAGCTTCGAAAAGGAAAAAAGAAAAGTATATGCTTACGTCTGGCGAACGTTGAAAATGAGTCTCATTTAATTTGTCCTTTCAAGAAAAAAAAAA